AATGGCAGCCACACATCTCCTATAACATCTAGGTCTGGCTTCAGGCCTTTGGGCTTCCCAGCATCTCTCAGAGGGTGTGCATTAGGGTTGACAACAAATATTCTTCTCCATTAACATGGCTTAATGGGATGGTATTTATCTCTGTGACATGAAAAGCTTCCACTGCCCATTTCCACACATTAAGCTTCTGTTAAATATTTTTCTCCAGGTTCTTGGGAACCCTACTATGCAAGTTTGTGGAGCTATGTACTTAATGTTAACTTTCACCTGCTTTTTCAGGGTGGGAAGTGGCTGGCGACTACATTTACACAGCAGCAGGAGCCTCTGATGATGACTTCATGATTTTGACCTTGGTAATTCCTGGATTTAGGTGAGTCTGTTCCTGAGTTGGTGCTATCAAAGCTATTTCTTCAAAATGTGCTTGAGAGCTGCACTGTTTTCAAGTTCTGTTATGGAGTGATGGTAATTAATTTGAATTAAAACAAAAACAAAATGAGATCTTGGTAGACAAATAGAGCTGGGTCAGGCTTGTTGGTGTTTTTCATTTCCATTCTGAAGGTACATACTGAAGGTTAACATAAATTATTTGATCTCATAATCACAGTTTTTGCCCCGATACATTGAATTTTGATCAACAGCAGATTTTTGTGGACTATGGTAGGCTGCTAAAAGCCTGGGAAAGAGACTGACCCTTCCACCCAGAAAGCATTCCCAACTCACTTTCTTATTCTGTCCTCACTGCTGGTTGCACAGATGCTGGAATAGCAGTGGTGCAGTTGAGATAAGGGAGTCATAGGGACCAGAAATGGTGTGCTGCACGCTCAGAGAGGGAGAGGTACAGAACCTGGATGCAGTGGAACACTGTGCTCAGACAATGTCCTGTCCCCCCACCCCATGAAAGCATACTGCTTACATTAATTCCACAATCCCTAATTTGACTTTCCCAGCAATTTCTGAGCACCACAGCAGCAGAGAGGATGAATTAGGGATTATACTGGAACAGGCCCTTCAGACATTCACAGGTACTGGGAAGATGCTTGATCTTGTCACATATTGGCAGTAGGCATACTTTCAATACATGCATGTAGATGAAGTGCTGATTAGGGATGTCATGACCTTAATTGCAAACACATTTAATAGAAGAACATGCCATATTTGGCAGTTGCAGTCACCTGTGAGCAAAACTTTTGATCTGCTTGCCAATCTGCCATCTGGCTTGAACAGCACTAGAGTTCTGCTAGTAGAGTTTCATTTCCTTGTGGTGGTGGAGTTTCACTTCCTTGCCTCTTTTTTTTTTTTTTGGCATCTGAACAAATGGTTGAGTCAGGTAATGAAATTATGTGAGGCGGCAGCGACACCACCCACAAGGCTATGCAAAAATGTGCATGTGTGAAATAATGTTGATAATGCAAACTTAAGTAAGACTTCTTGAAAAGATAAGACTTCTTGAAAAGTATAATATTTATTTGACTGATTTACTCACTGTTTATTTATACGATTGGCTGCTGAGTGGTGTGCAGCAACAACAGGTCTGTAGGGGAGGGGGAAGTAAGAATTCCATTGGGCTGTATGAGAATGTGCATATGTGAAACACTACTGATTGCACTATACTGTACTGCATTGTTTGAATACATGAAAAGTAACCTAACAAACACATTTGAACTGTTTACAAACAGCCAAAGTGGTTGACCAAAAATTTATCTGGTGTTCAAGCATCCCTAGGGTTACAACCCCTGGCCTCTTAAAATCCATTGCAGTTGGGATGATCTTCTGAGAACTTTATGGGAATTTTCTGATTATGATGCTAATCTTATCAAGCTTGCCAGCTGATGTAGAGTATACTGATTGGCTCCTGTTCTCCCACACTGTCCTCCACTAAATTTTCACCCGCATCTTAAGCAATAACTTCAACCTGAGTATGGCTTATTCTCTTCTAGCCCCCCACAATCAGTGGCAAAGGACTCAGAAAACAAGGAGATAGCAAGAATCACATTTGTCTTTGAAACTATCTGCAGTGTGAATTGTAAGCTTTATTTCATGGTGGTAAGTTTGTCCAGCTACTTCTTCCTCTTTCCAAAGCAGATGGTTTTCCCCCCTGCTTTGTTTTCCTTGATATTCTGTGTTTCTACCCATGGGACAAAACAGGCTGTCAAAGGAATACAGCCCTTCCTCTTCTACAGGCTATGTCATTAAAAAAAAAGAAGGCACGTTTCCTAGCTGGTTTTTGCCTTTGGAACCCTTCACTCAAAACCTATCACTTTTTTCCTTGACAGATGCCATTTTGAGTTTTGTCTGTTGTGGCTTCCACTGTTCTAGGTGGTGGCCATATACAGTCATCTTATTTATATGCAACTTAAAAAAAACATATTTGCCTTTCACATCCTCTGAAGCACATTACAGGTATACGCATGGGGTGCTAACTAATTTTATGAAAAACAGCTTAGAGGGAGCATTGGCCATAACCCACATCAGTGCCACTTGAGCAGCAGTGGGTATGCATGGAACTCTCTCTTAGATGCTGTAGTCCTTTCCCCAAATCCAGCATCCTTTCCTCTGGCTATGCGCTTCCTTCCCAGCTCATGTCTTACCTCCCCTAATTTTCAGGTAGTGTTTTTGGAGACTTACAAAGATCAAGATGCCCTGACCACCTCCATCCCCAGTTCATTCTCAAGTTATGAAAGTATCATAGTTGTGCATCTGCTATGAAGACTTCTTTAAGCAGAAATCATTCCCTGCGTCTTTACCCACTTTGTCTGACAGGGTATGAATTCCAAAACTGATACAGCTGTGGAGACCTGGGCTGGCCCTAAGGGAAAGCAGTCCTACACATACATCATTGAGAAAAATGCTACGATGAGCTTCACATGGGCGTTCCAGAGGACAGCGTACCATGAAGCAGTAAGGAACTCTTACTTCCTAGGAAACCTTCTGTTCACAGCCTATTTTTTTGTTATCATTTTTATGGAGGGATTCCACATCAAGACTCTTGGCTGTTTCTGTGTCTTGCAGTCTTTGTCCTGAACTAAATAAAGGTATGCTTAGCTGAAATCACTCTCCATCTGCATACTTTTCACATTGCCGGCTCTTTACCCACTTTGTCTGACAGGGTATGAATTCCAAAACTGATACAGCTGTGGAGACCTGGGCTGGCCCTAAGGGAAAGCAGTCCTACACATACATCATTGAGAAAAATGCTACGATGAGCTTCACATGGGCATTCCAGAGGACAGCATACCATGAAGCAGTAAGGAACTCTTACTTCCTAGGAAACCTTCTGTTCACAGCCTGGTTTTTTGTTATCATTTTTATGGAGGGATTCCACATCAAGAATCTTGGCTGTTTCTGTGTCTTGCAAATGGGGAAGGTTACAGTGAAAAATGTATGGCCCTCCCTGCAGCACTTTCCTTTCCCTGGCACCCCCACCCCCACCCCCCGCTTATGAAGCACTTCTGCCTCTACAAGGCACTTACGAAAACAATTTCCATTTTCTTTCAGGGTAGAAAATACACAAACAATGTTGCCAGGCTGTACTCCATCAACGTGACCAATGCCATAGATGGTGTTGCTTCTTACTGCCGCCGGTGTGCTTTGGAATCTTCGGGCTCATCCTGTACCTCCTGCCCAGCTGGGCACTACATTGACAGAGACTCTGGTGGCTGCTATGCATGCCCACCAAATACTTATCTGAAAGTTCACCAGCCCTATGGCAGTCAGGCCTGCATCCCTTGTGGCCCTGGTACAAAAACCAACAAGGTGCTGTTGTCCTCCTTATGGTTGATTATTCTTCAGATGTAACAGATTATTGTTGTGATTTAAACCAGAGTTCACTGGCCGAAATCTGTAAATAAGTGAGTGCTGTACATTAGAATACATGCAAGTCTTGTTGTCCAAAGCCGTGTATTAATGGGCACATAAAACTGTCCTCATAAAGAGCTGCAGCAGATCTATTGGCTGGACAAGGCTACATCTCAAATGACAAACCGGAGACTTCTTAGCCAGCAGATCTACTCATGAGTAAGGAGCCCGGCTCATTGCTTCATATGGCAGATGAAACGGTTTCCTCATGAATGCTTCTGCTGCTTCTCTTTGTGGGTGCAAACTGCACAGCTATGAAGAGGAGCAACAGAACACCTTGGGAAAATATGGGCTGCTCTCAAGCATCCACCAAAAAAAGTCATGCTGGTGCAAGTACAGTCTTAATCTTGATGATAAGCTATTCCAAAACCCAGTCCACTCCAAGGAGGAGGAATTGTTTTGCAAAATTCAGATACTCTTGAGCTTTGAAATACTGGTTATGAATACATGAGACAATGGTAAAGGATGGTAACATTATTTTAAAGTCCCTTGCATATGTTCTAAAGCCAGATCTTTTTCACATACATTGTTTCATAGGCTGTCTCTGCCAATAGCCACATAAAGTATGCAGTAGACAGACTGGCCATAACACAGTTTTAGTTTTCCTCTTTATTAGTTGTACTTTCAAAGTAAGTAAGCCATTCCTATTCTGGGAGATATTGGAGAAAAGGGTGCACAGCACTAATCCATGATAGCTGCTTAATAAATATTTTGTATACCTAAAAATGAGATTTTAATTGAAAAATTAATTATAGTGCATTAATTTTAGTTTAACAGCTTCATATTTCTCAGACTGAAAACGTGGAAAGTATACATCAAAAGGGGCTCTTCCCTTATTAAAACAACCCAGAGTGTTGTTAAAAATATATATTTCTTCAGAAATATGAAAAAAGTTACTTACTGCCAAAATGGAAATGGCACAGGATGGTTCCTCTCCACACAGTCTGTTTGATGTAATTATCCACATGGTTCCATGGCTGCACTGTGCATTTGGCAAGCATGATTCCAGAGTGGTATGGTTCTGATCCTGGCTGCCATTAGAATCATCCACCAGTTTGGGGTCCTTTACTCTCAAAGTAAACAGAGTTTCAAAAACTGTTGGAGAAACTGATACTTTCTCAGGTCCTTGGAAAGGAAGCAAAACTGTGTAATATTCCTCTTCCCAGATCCATTCTCTCTGTTACAACGACTGTCACTTCTCAGTCAGCGTGGAAGGCAGGACTCTGGAATATGATTTCTCAGCCTTGGCCAATACCACATCCTTTTTAGGGGACCCAAGTTTTACCTCAAAAGGGCTGAAGTATTTTCATCACTTCAACATCAGCCTCTGTGGCAATCATGTAAGTATGTGTGGCATTCATATGAGGCGAAAGCCTCTCTGTATGTCTTGACAACCACCTTGAGACATCCAAGAAATGTCTCCTAATGGAAGCCGCTCCACACAGGGCCATGAAATGTTTTAATGCCTCATCAAATGGATTACTTCTATTGCCTGGAGAGCTGTTAAGTTCAGTGCTGTCCCACAGCTGCTGAGAATTTCTTTGTCACTCCCTTCCACTTCTGGCTGCCATAACATTTGTGTGTGTGTGTGTGTCCAACTGCACGATGAGACATGTATTGAAATATGTGCATGTGTGAATCATAAGCTGTAACATACGAAGGGGTTTCTTGAAGCTTCTGTTGAAAATGCCAGCATTTTAGAAAGCTTCACACCTAAAGAGCACAGGGTTGCCAGTCTTTGGATGGGGCCTGGAGATCTCATGGATCTACAAAGGATTTCCAGGAGAAAATGGCTGCTTTAGAAGCTGGATTCCATGGCATTATACCCTGCAGAGGTCCCTCCCATCCCTAAGCTCCCCCCCCCCTCGACTCCACCCTCAAATGGCCAGGAATTTCCCAACTTGCAGTTGGCATTGGCAACCCTACTGGGATGCAGGTGCCTCTGTCATTTTTTTTAGGAGATTGAAGCTGATGCTGTGATTCTTTTTTTTAAAAGTGGGATGAAAAGAAAGGCTCCTAACGAATCTGACTTTCTCTCCCTCTGTCTCCCTCTCTGTTCTTCTTCTTCTGAAGGGAAGAAAGATGGCTACCTGCACAGACAATGTCACAGACATCCGGATCCTGGGCAAGGAGGCAGAGTCTTCCAAATCAGCTACCTCCTATGTATGCCAATCCATCATTGTCCCCTCTGAAATGATGGGTTACAAAACAATAGTGTCTTCACAGCCTGTGAGCCTTGCAGACCGCTTAGTAGGTGAGAGAAGCAGGGACTGTTCATATAGTTTGAAAAGAGGCTTGAAGCTGCTTCCTAAAGAGGCTTTGGTGTGTGTGTGTGTGGGGGTGCTGATTCAACTAACTCCACTCCAGTCTTCAGTCCAGTCTTCAGCCTTCAGTCCAGCTTCCAAACCCTCTAGACACAAATTGCAGGAACTGCATGTGTACTTTGTCCAAAGGCATGACCTTTTAGACAACACATATACACACTAATTGGTATCTCTTCCCATTGGTACCCTCCATCCTTCATCCAGCTGGATTTTTCTGGTTTGGAAAAGCTAGGATGATGTTGGCTTTTTCTTCTTTCAACTGTTATTTATTTAGCAGTACATTAAGAAGAATAAGCAAGCAGTTATTGTCCTCAGCTCTGTTCCTGGATTTGCTTAAAACTTCTGGTTTTCACCCTTTAGCTTCATGTAGCCATGTACAGGGCCGGCCCACCCATAGAAAAAATTAGACATTTGCCTAGGGGTGCGGCGCCCTGGAAGAGCGCCCTGGCCTGCCGCCCCACCCTCGCCAAAAGCAAATTGTTGCAACTACGGGGCTGTCTTGGCGCCCCTGGGCTTGGCCTGCTCCAGTAGGGCAGGGATTGGCTGCTCTGACTCCCAGGACTCCCCACCCCCCTGCCCAGAAGCCACCCCAGCTAGATTTTGGTGCGGGGGGGGGGGCAGGGGAAGCCAACCAACACTGCAGCCAGCAAGCAGGGGGAGCCCTGGGCATGAGCGCTCCTGGAGAGGACACCATCACGATGGAGCCCTTCGCCGAGGACAAAGTGAGTGCTCAGGAGGAGCCGGGAAGGGGGCCCCAAGGTGGCTTCCTCGGGAGCCAGTCCCCAGCGGAGGGCAAGGCACCTGTCATGGGGCACGCAGCGCACGGGAGCTAGCTCCTCGTGAGGAAACGCACCTCAGAGCTGGGGCAGGGAGCCCGGGGGAGGTGAGGAGGGGCTTCTCTCTCTCTGTGTTGGGGCAGAAAGAGCGGAATGCAAACTTTGGATGAGCCCTCCTCCTAGCCTCAGCCCAGCCCATCAAACAAGACTTGTTCATTCGGCTCTTCTTTTCTTTCTCAGAGAGGACAAAAATCCATGCTTTAGGAGGGGCTCCCTTCAGGAATTCACCAGAGACAGCCCGTGTCTGTGTGTATGTGTGTGTGTGTGAGAGAGAGAGAGAGAGAGAGAGAAAGAGAGTGTGAGAGAGAGCGTCTCTGAACATCCTCTTATTTTATTTCTTCATTTAATCCCTGTCACAAATAATTTTTTTAATTGCTGCCCAACTCTGTGGTGGTGGTATCTGTAGTCAGACTGCCACCTCAAAACTCTGGGAAATGTTTGTTCTTCAGAAACAAGGAGGACTGTGCTGCTGAGATGGGGGGGGTCACTTCTGTTTCATGGGGAGGAGGGCTACAATTCTCAGATACAGCATGACTGGTATGGTAGTCTCCTCATGGCACTGCATCCATTTAAAACCACAGTCCTGTGAAGTGGGAGTAAACTCACATTAACACAGAGAAACAGGCATTGGATTTGGCTGCTTCTTAAGACACAGGGAAGGATTATAGTATAAAGTGTCGTGTCCCAAACAATACTCCCTCTAAGCTGTGGATTCCTGTGAACAAAAATTCTGCTTTGTGAGTTACTGGAATTAAAGTTGTGAGTGAGCGATTTGGCTACTGCATAAATTAGTTTGCTTTGGAGTCATCCTTCCTGAGCTAAGATACTAGCCACTAGCCAAGAAGGGTGGCTCCCCCCACCTTTCTGATTCCACACATTTTCCCTGGCACATGTGGTATTTGCATATTTGTGGCCGCCGGCAGGGGGGGGCACTTCACAATTGCAGGGGTGCGGGGGAGGCGGCACCAGAAGGTAGCCTCGCCTAGTGTGCAAAAAACCTGGAGCCGGCCCTGGCCATGTAACAACAGCCAAAGGTCTGGAGAAAAATGGCCTGTCCCTTTAATACAGGCTTAATGTGTAGAAATGGGCAGCTAAAACTATTCATGGCATGGAGGTAATAGCATCTTGTTAAGACTATTAAGGAGATGGGACTTTTTTCTCTCCAAGAATTTGGCAGCCTTAACCCCCAGGCCTCGGATATTTTAAAGTCAGGAGCTAGTAACCCTAAAACTGAAGGTAGATCATGCGTCATAACACAGCCTGCTACTGTCCCTGTGTGAAATCTTACTTGCTGCTCTGATTCTGGTTTGAATTTGTAAGGAAGTCAATTAATTTTATGAACTTTTTAATGATGTGTTTTTATAATGTTTTGTTTTAATTGTTAGTTGCCTTGGTTGGGCTGAAAGATGACACACACATTTTGTAAAATATACCATAGATTCTAGTTGAAATCTCTCCTCAGATTTCTTCCCCCCCCCCAGCACCTCTCCATAATCACCAGAAATTTTCTGAGCTGGAGTTGATAACCCTGCTGTGAAATGGAACCTTAAGCAGAGCCTCATTAGCTGGTCTTAAGACATGGAGGGGTTCATGTAGGACTGGAGGCAGGTTGCCAGCAGATGGATAGCATGTGCAGGTGGATGAGGGCAGGGGGGGGTGGTACTGGCAGGGCGTGTGGTGTAACGTCAGTTCTTGGGAAAACCTGGAAGTGGCATCATGTTGCTCTAGGAATTACCAGAAACTCTAGAGTTTCAGACAGTTCCTAGAATGATATGATATCACTTCCAGAAAAAACATCACTCCATGTGTGAAGCTGGCAGCTGGCAATTATTCCCCCCCCCCCATCCCGTTGCCCAAAGGAAGGTGGGAAGAGCAGGTTGCCGGTGGGAGTCCTTGCAACACTGTGTAGGAGTAGATGTTCAGTGAGATACCCCAGACCTAAACTGCTTCAGCATAAAGGCTAAAACCAGCCCCTTGAACTTGGCCCAGAGTCAAACAAGAAGCCAGTGCCATTGTTTCAGTATTGGGGAACTGTTTCATATTCATGTTCCAGGGTTGGGGAAGGTGGTATAAGTAGGCTGGGTAACAGGTCAGAACCTGTCTCTGTGCAGCTCCTCCTCACTGTCTTTTCTAACTTTCAGGAGTAACAACAGAGTCTACCCTGGACAATATAACTTCTCCTGCTGACCACTTCCCTCCTGGGAATGTGGGCTTATCAGATGTGATATTCTTTTTTAGGTAAGCTGCAAGGTTGCTAAAGGCAGGCTTTATCCATTTTACTGTGGAACACCCTGGTCTGTCAACAGGCATCACCAGCAATATGGGGAAGTTTTGAGTCCTTGCTTTCTAGAGCTTGTTCATGTGTGAGCTAGGCCACTGTGGTCACTAGAGAGCCAAGCAGGAACTGTCAGTTGGTCTGCAGCATTGGGAAATGAAAGTTCTCAGCTTCTTATACAGCAGGGGTAGGTCAGGCTTGCAAGATTAATCCACTAATCAGAACCAGACATCAAATGGTGGTCCATGAGGTAGAGCCAGACACAGGATCATGTGGGAAGGGGACCATTCCTTATTTTCTTCCAGGAGATCATCTTACACACTTATTCTCCCACACACAAACACAACTTTCTTTCCCCTAGGGTTGCCAATTCTGGTTAGAAAATTCCTGGAGATATGAGGATAGAGCCTGGGGAGGGTCTACTTTGGTGGTGGTGGTGGGGGACTTCACCAAGTTATAGTTCCACAGAGTCTAATCTCGAAGGCTGACATTTTCTCCAGGAGAGCTGATCTCTGTAGTGTGGAGATCAGTAATAATAATGTGAGATCTCCAGGCCTGACTTGGAGGTTGAACAACCAATACAAACAACCGTGATATTATTACTAAGATATTATTCTATGAAAAATTCAAGGAAAAGGTGCTGTCATCATCAGTGTCATTACTGGTGGCATCACAGCGACCCCCCCTTTTTTAAAAATGGCCCTGACATATAGATATAGAACTGTAGTGTTATGATGAATTCCCAGCTCAGGTCTGTAGCTACTTCCGTTGTGGAGATATAAGGGAAAAGGCATATATCTGTGAGAGAAAGAGATAGAGACTTACTTTTTATATAAAGAAAGTTGGGAATTCAGAGAACTAATCATTACTACAGTACAGCATTATATCGATATTTTAGGGCCTTTAAAAAAAATTGCAATCACTGTCTGGGGCGGGGGGAGTGGTTTAACAATGACAACAGTCCAGTCATTTTTAAAAGTATGCTGAATGTGTGTGGGAGTGGGCAGGACAAAGAAAACCAATAGAAACATTTCTCACTAGGAAAAAGCTGACTCAGCATTGGCTTACAGACAAACATTGGGATATAAGTGGTCTAAAAGGGCTAAGAGGGGGACTGGGGGGGGGAGTGAAAACTAAAGGCACAAAAATGTGTGCCAAAATCAGGATAAATCAAAGCAGTATGGGGCCAGAACCAAAAAAAAAAAACCATGCAGAAAAGTCCAGGGATGGAGGCAAGCAGAGGAGCAGGACTGCTTGGTGGAAATAACTTTGCACATGCATAGGAAAGAGAAAGTAGACACAGGGCATCACTTGCCAACAGAGAGACTACAAATGGCCCTGCCATCCCCCCCACAACAGATCAGTTTTGTAGAATCACCTGAGGAGGAAGGAAGTGGGGAAGAAAGTCAGAAAATGGGATTGATTGGTTAGATCACAAGTGATGTTCTGCCTACTTATAGGATGGACTCTGCAATTGCAGCTCTTTAGGACACACAGCAGTGCAAGCAAGTATGCCTTGTCAAACTGTGGCAGAGATTTTGTCATAGCATAACATGTTTACTTAACCTGCAGATCCAATGATGTGACCCAGACTTGTAATAATGGGAGAGCCACTGCCGTCAGAGTAAGATGTGATCCTCTTAAGTCCCCTGGAAGCCTGTCTGTGCCAAAGTGAGTTAAAGAGCTTGTGAAATATTTGTCTCAGTATGATGTGTGCCCTTTAAAAATTGAAATCTGCCCCAAACTAGAGCAGTCCAGAAGTTGAAACAGAGGCAAATAAACCTTTGAGAGAAGCAATTGAATGACAGAAGATGAGGCCTATTGAGACTCACTGTCACTGAAATCAGAGGTCTAATGTACAGGCTACAGGATATATAGTGTATTACTATCTAATTTAAACACACATAGATGCAGAACCTGTCTCTGTGCAGCTCCTCCTCACTGTCTTTTCTAACTTTCAGGAGTAACAACAGAGTCTACCCTGGACAATATAACTTCTCCTGCTGACCACTTCCCTCCTGGGAATGTGGGCTTATCAGATGTGATATTCTTTTTTAGGTAAGCTGCAAGGTTGCTAAAGGCAGGCTTTATCCATTTTACTGTGGAACACCCTGGTCTGTCAACAGGCATCACCAGCAATATGGGGAAGTTTTGAGTCCTTGCTTTCTAGAGCTTGTTCATGTGTGAGCTAGGCCACTGTTAGAGTGCCAAGCAGGAACTGTCAGTTGGTCTGCAGCATTGGGAAATGAAAGTTCTCAGCTTCTTATACAGCAGGGGTAGGTCAGGCTTGCAAGATTAATCCACTAATCAGAACCAGACATCAAATGGTGGTCCATGAGGTAGAGCCAGACACAGGATCATATGGGAAGGGGACCATTCCTTATTTTCTTCCAGGAGATCATCATACACACTTATTCTCCCACACACAAACACAACTTTCTTTCCCCTAGGGTTGCCAATTCTGGTTAGAAAATTCCTGGAGATATGAGGATAGAGCCTGGGGAGGGTCTACTTTGGTGGTGGTGGTGGGGGACTTCACCAAGTTATAGTTCCACAGAGTCTAATCTCGAAGGCTGACATTTTCTCCAGGAGAGCTGATCTCTGTAGTGTGGAGATCAGTAATAATAATGTGAGATCTCCAGGCCTGACTTGGAGGTTGAACAACCAATACAAACAACCGTGATATTATTACTAAGATATTATTCTATGAAAAATTCAAGGAAAAGGTGCTGTCATCATCAGTGTCATTACTGGTGGCATCACAGCGACCCCCCCTTTTTTAAAAATGGCCCTGACATATAGATATAGAACTGTAGTGTTATGATGAATTCCCAGCTCAGGTCTGTAGCTACTTCCGTTGTGGAGATATAAGGGAAAAGGCATATATCTGTGAGAGAAAGAGATAGAGACTTACTTTTTATATAAAGAAAGTTGGGAATTCAGAGAACTAATCATTACTACAGTACAGCATTATATCGATATTTTAGGGCCTTTAAAAAAAATTGCAATCACTGTCTGGGGCGGGGGGAGTGGTTTAACAATGACAACAGTCCAGTCATTTTTAAAAGTATGCTGAATGTGTGTGGGAGTGGGCAGGACAAAGAAAACCAATAGAAACATTTCTCACTAGGAAAAAGCTGACTCAACATTGGCTTCCAGACAAACATTGGGATATAAGTGGTCTAAAAGGGCTAAGAGGGGGACTGGGGGGGGGGGGGAAAACTAAAGGCACAAAAATGTGTGCCAAAATCAGGATAAATCAAAGCAGTATGGGGCCAGAACCAAAAAAAAAAAACCATGCAGAAAAGTCCAGGGATGGAGGCAAGCAGAGGAGCAGGACTGCTTGGTGGAAATAACTTTGCACATGCATAGGAAAGAGAAAGTAGACACAGGGCATCACTTGCCAACAGAGAGACTACAAATGGCCCTGCCATCCCCCCCACAACAGATCAGTTTTGTAGAATCACCTGAGGAGGAAGGAAGTGGGGAAGAAAGTCAGAAAATGGGATTGATTGGTTAGATCACAAGTGATGTTCTGCCTACTTATAGGATGGACTCTGCAATTGCAGCTCTTTAGGACACAAAGCAGTGCAAGCAAGTATGCCTTGTCAAACTGTGGCAGAGATTTTGTCATAGCATAACATGTTTACTTAACCTGCAGATCCAATGATGTGACCCAGACTTGTAATAATGGGAGAGCCACTGCCGTCAGAGTAAGATGTGATCCTCTTAAGTCCCCTGGAAGCCTGTCTGTGCCAAAGTGAGTTAAAGAGCTTGTGAAATATTTGTCTCAGTATGATGTGTGCCCTTTAAAAATTGAAATCTGCCCCAAACTAGAGCAGTCCAGAAGTTGAAACAAAGGCAAATAAACCTTTGAGAGAAGCAATTGAATGACAGAAGATGAGGCCTATTGAGACTCACTGTCACTGAAATCAGAGGTCTAATGTACAGGCTACAGGATATATAGTGTATTACTATCTAATTTAAACACACATAGATGTACCTAAAAATTTAGGGATGGGCAACTGTCTAAAGAAAAAAAACTGTCCCTTTAACAGAGGCTTCATGAGATTGGGGAGGGGGGGGTGGCTCAGTGGCAGAGCATCTGCTTGGCATGCAAAAGGTCCCAACTTCAATCCTCAGATATCCAGTTAAAAGGATCAAACTGTAGGTGATGCAAAAGGTCTCTACCTGAGACCCTGGAGAGCCACTTCCAGTCTGAGTAGATCATATTGACCTTAATGGGCCAATCCAGTTTCATGGGTGTTCATGTGAGATGTTATTTACCAGGTGATGTGATTTTCCCTGTTGCCTTGAAAAGCTTCAGCTGCCTATTTCCACACATTAAGCCTCTGTTAAAGGGACAGAAAGTTTTTCTCTAGGCCTGTTGGCAACTCAGTTCAAAAAGGAGTTAATTCCCCCCCCCACTCTTGTGAATCGAGTCTCTCTCTCTCTTCCTCCTCGCTTATTATTACAAATGACAGATTCCATCACCTTCCATTACTGATTTCAGTTTTGTTCTTCTTCCATGCCTCTGAGAGGATGTCAACCTTTTTTATTGTTTAAAGTATTGCTTGTACATTTATAGTGTAATCTTATGTTGTATTACTCCTGTCTAGAGTTCAAAAATGTTGAAACCATAGTTTTTTAAAAAAAAACCTTTTCCCCAGAAGGAAACAAAATTTGGATGGAAAGCTGAAACGTATGCAACACTTACTTTCCTATCAAACCTAAACCTGCTGCTTTGATTATATAAAATATGTCATGTGTAATAGCATAGAAATTGTGTTAATCGGTATATTTATGGAATTTAAAAGTATTAATGCCTTAGTTTTCTATAAGCAACATTGCAAATATACGCAGTACTAATACCAGAGATATCAACAAACTGCTGCACCACATGCTGTCCTAGCACATTTCACTTATTTCAAATATGTAGAGCTTTTCCAGTGTTTCCCACAATTTCCTGATTTTTCCATTTGAAAAATCGAATGATGCACATGTTGATTGAGGAAAAACCTGTCTTAAAAAGCATTTCATTCATTTCAAAAGAAGAAAATGTTGCCTAGGATGTTTTTTTTCAGAGCTTCCCAAAATCTCCATTGGAAAAATGGAAAAGAAGTTCTCAGATTTCATATTATACATGGTGAATTAGCGACTATCTTCTAGCAGTGTTTCACTAATTTCAAATAAAAAATGTTGCATAGCTTTTTCCAGTGTTTTCCCAAATTCCCCAATTTTTCCATCAGTAAAAATGGGGGGGAGTCCTTGGCGAGAGATCTTCCCCCCAAATTTTTCTGTTTATTTTTTTCTTGGCCTTTACATCTCTACTCTAGTCTAAGCCCACTGGAACTGATGGACTTAGACCTTTGTAACACTGTATAGGATTGCATGTTAGTCACTTAAAAGTTCACTTAGCATTTTCTTTTTATGGAAACCCCTAAAGATCTTTAAAGTTGAACAAGTGCTCTGAGTGGGGGGGATTTCTTAGTGACATCACAGTTGCTAGCCAGCCTGAGCTGTGTACAGTCAGCTGTTGCTGCATATGGGTAGAACTAGTTTGTCTTAAGCTGGATCATGGACAGAAGATAGTAAGTCTGACCAAAATGCTGCAAGGGCATTATCACAGCAATCCCAGTCATGGTTTTTAGTATATCTGTATGCACCTTTCACTAGTGTTTGTGATTTTGTTCAAAGGTCCCTTGTTCACCTGTAAAAGAATATGCTCCTGTTTTGGAATGTCATTCATACTATATCATGAGTCCTATCCTTCTCCTACTAAGAGTCACAGACTCACAGTTACATCTGTTAAATTTATAAACCTAGTATATCTACTATAAATATTTCTGAGACTCGCTACGACATATCAGTTTCTTCACATTCTGTACATCATATCCTTTCACAGCTTCATTACCCCTTTAAAAGACAAAGATGTACTGTGTGAGCAGGAAGAAAAGCAGATAAATGCTCTGAAGATGGAGCCTCTTGGAACCTTTGGATTTCAAGTTGCTTCTAGTTGGGTTATGTCTCAAGTAGCATAGTTCAGGAACTGTATGCAGTATTACTCCCTCAAATCTAGCCTGAATAAAAGCCTATACCTGACACAGAAAAGAGTAAGAGTCCAGTAGCACCTTAAAGACTAACAAAATATGTGGTAGGGTATGACCTTCTGTGAGTCACTGCTCACTTCTTCATCAGTAGCTAAGTTTTGAGACATGTCGATAGTAGGCCCAATGGTCTCAATTCATCTAAGATGACTCCTTATAATTTCCTTACAGCAAGTGTCCTGAAGGAACCTGTGATGGGTGCACTTTCTACTTCTTATGGGAGACAGTTGAAGGCTGTCCTCTCTGTTCTACAGATGATTACCATGCCATCATCAGTGCCTGTGTAGGAGGAATTCAGGTAGGGACTCAAAGTCATTTTTGTGAATTGCTTTTTTCTCTCCAAGACCCATGAGTTACATATACATTTTAATGCACAATTGCATTACTGTTATAATGAACCATTGACTGCTACTTCAGCCCTGTTTGTCAACACATGAATGTGCATCTAGAAAGAGAGAGACCAAACTGGAAAGCACAAGAGACCAAACTGGAAAGCACAATTATTTCTACAAGACTTACTACCACAAGGCAGTCTTATGATCTGACCCTAAGCATGTTTACTCCGTATGAAGTTGCACTGCTTTTAGTATGACTTTCATCCAGATAAGTATGTTGAGGATTAAAAGTCTGTTTCAATACTACTATACTTTAATACTGTTACAGCAACAATGCACTGCCAGTTTTGTTTTACCGTTATGACATTTTTGCATTCATCCAGTTTGCCCTGCTTTCCTGGTCTACAGCTGTTCCAGATGCTACTTTTAAAAGGATCCCTCTACTTTTCCTCCTACAGAGAACCACGTATGTGTGGCGAGAGCCAAAGCTGTGTGCAGGTGGCATTTCCCTCCCAGAGCAAAAAGTCAGCATCTGCAAGACCATGGACTTCTGGCTCAAAGTGGGCATCTCAGCGGGGACCTGTGCTGCTGTCCTTCTGACTGTCCTGACTTGCTATTTCTGGAAGAAAAACCAGAAGTGAGTCACAATTCCTCCTCCTCCTCCTCCTGCATGTTACTTGTACTTATTCATAGCTGTATCATATTATCCCTATCCTAACCAAGGAAAGGGATATATCATATTTCCCTTTCTAAACTGAGTGATTACCTTGAGTATCCCAGCACATGGAAGCTTTATTTAAGTGTCCAAACCAATGAATATTAGAGATTCTCCGCATACATGACTTATTCCTACTTTTCTTACCAGTCATTAGGCTAGCATCAGAATCACATTGAGCATGGGGATTCCACTCCATTTGCATTTTTCCAGTTGCCATATCTTTCTATTTTCTTACAGACATGCCCTAAAAAACCAGGATTTTTGAGCAAGGGTGCTGTCATCACCAGCATCCTCACAGCACCACCACTCCCCGTTTTTTCTTTTGGTTGCACATGCACTGTATTGATATAATGCTAGCAGCAGGGCTAGGCACGCACAGAATCACCATATTGTCCCTGTGGAAATGCCCTTCACTCAAAGATTTACCCCAATAGTTGGACATTTAGGGCTACAAACTAGTTTTAATTTTTTCCCCTATCAATAAATGGCAAGTAAATGGAGAGGAGTCAATTGCTTACCCATCTAGTCAATTGCTTTGAAGCAGCCAGTACTTAATGTTTAGTCATATAAATATCTGTGATAAGCTAAGAACAATGAAGTGGGCTGCACTGAGACAGTCTCCACCAGAATCAAAAACAAACACCCCCAAACTCATTAAAAAGTCAAATTACAAAAGAAGCCACTTCAAGTAACTGTGTTTGGGCCAGGGCACCGCTGTGAGGAATGGTAGATGTGTGAGTTTGTCACTCTGGATCCCTCCCGTCCTGTTCTAGCCCAACTCCAATGAAAATTATATAAAAACAACGAAGAATGGGCAAAATTGAACACAAAATTGAAACCCAAACCCACCTCAGCAGCCAGAAATACTGTAAAAGATCACCTCAAGAGCTCTGTTCATCGACCCAGGGCCCTTCAGACCAAAAACAAAATGGCAGCCACGCCAGAAACAGTGGAGCTCCCAACGAGCTTTCCAGCTGTGGCAGACATTCTACACCACCTTAAAGCTATGGAGGTAAGCCTCTCTGACAAAATGTCTAACCTCTCAAACTCAATTTGAATAGATAAGGATTGCTGTTACAACTACTGCTCAGAAGGCAGACCTAAGACTGGTGAATCAGGCAGATATTAAAGCACTGCAAGAAGCCTCTGACTCCCAAAGAGACTCTCTAATCACCTTAGAAACTGAGGTAAAATCCATGAACCTTAAATTTAGAGGAATCAGGAAGGAAGCTGAAGAAAATCAGGACTTAGTTGCATTCATGGCTTCCCTCATAGCGTCTGGCCTAGCCTTGGAAGAGGGTGTTTTTTTTCCTACTCTTACCCAAGCATACCGCATGGACCCTCCAGCTCAAAATCTCTGTCCACTCCCAAGAGACATTTTAATAACAGTCCCAGATGCAAGAGTCCGTCACAGAATTTTAGATACAGCAAAAAAGCCTGGAACATTAAAATATGAAGGTGAACCCATACAAGTATTCCCAGATATCGGACTTCTGGTTTGTGGACTGGTGATGGCGGTCGCTCTCCCCGGACCTTGGGGGAGCGGTTAGCACATCAGCGGCATAGAGGGGTGCTACCTCAAGTGGCATCCCCATGGAGCCTTTGTGATAGGCTCCAGGCCCTCTGAAAATGCAAGGAAGCAAATGGTTGTGGCAGAAGAATTGTTTTTCAGGGCAGAGAAAGAAAAAGTGCCAATTGCTGCAAGCATGGTGTGCCTTCTTATAGTGATTCAGAGATACTTTAACACAAGAAATAAAAATTCCTCATTACCAGAGCAGGGAAAAGAGAACACAGGGAACACAGGTAAGGGTTGTCCCAAGTCATGGTCTGCTGGTCAATGCCTGGGAAGGAACCAACAGAAGCAGAGGAAACATTACACATGTGAACAAACATGACTCAAATTCAGTTGCTAGAACAAGATCAGGTAAGAGTGGTCCCAAAAGAACCAGGAAAAAAACCAGAACACGAGAAAGACAGGATACTCTGATGCAGTATAGAACAAGAGGTGATACAGTTAACACCTTGCAGGAAAAAAAACCATGTCAGAAAAATACCTCTCTTCTTTTGTTGTAAGCTCTACAACACTTCTTACACTCCTAAGAGTGTCTCAGGCCACTTGCTACCTGTTAACAGAAGACAGAGTTGTGATAGTGCTACCATGTATTCCAGCTGTTTCTGTCTCAGAAGCAGGAATAGGAGAAAAGGGAGGAGAGGCTCCAGGAAAGCAGGGACCAGATAATGCTGACTGAGAAGCCTCTGGGAGAAAATGTTTCTCCCACACTTCCTGTTGTGAACATAAGCTTGTCAAAATGTGAATAAACAGTATTTATTAAGGATAAAAAGGGAGAGATTGAAAATAACTTCTGCTTCCTCAAGGGGTACAAGTAGAACATCACATCTCTAGATTTTCTAATTATTGGCAGGGGGCAGTATCCATATGATGGATCCAGCCTCTGTCCATCCTTCTAGCTATCTGTTATCTTCACAGGCTAGAGTATAAATATTCCAAGCTGGTGATGAATTCGAGTGCCAAGGATAGTGAGCTGCCTGCTGCTGACAGTTGTGCCATTATGGAGGGAGAAGATGTAGAAGATGACCTGATATTCACAAGCAAGAATTCTCTCTTTGGCAAAATAAAGGCTTTCACTACTAAGGTAAGCTGCCTGCAAGAGCCACCTTTTATAAGTGTCAGTAGGAAGTAGGGTCCAGATCACTGGCCCCAACAGTGATCTAACCTGACAGATGTCTAAGATAATCTTGTTTAACTCTCAAAGCAGTATCTTGAGTAAACATATTCTTAAACCACCTAACAGGCAACTTCCCTCCAAGGCTGACATGCATCTTTCAATAGTAATCAAAATCTTTTGATCTTTGATTCAGGGCTGCTTGTAAGAAATTATCTCAGCTGACACATGCTGTGGTGTGTGTGAGCCTTAACATTATAGCTGAGGGAGAAAGTGAATAAGAGCTTCATTCTTCACTCAGCCCCCCCACACACACACACACCAATGTCTTGACAGACTAAGTAGCCAAAGTGAGAAGAACCCTCCCCCCTAAGAAATACATCAGCTATAGTTAACCATCCTTGGTATAGAAGAGCACCCAGAAGGACAGTTGCTACAGGCTGGTCTTGAATTTTACATGCATTCCTACTGTGACATCCTTACTCTGGGCTACACCTGTCAGTGTTCTCCATTCTCAGTGTCCACTTGCATGTGCTGTTGTATTTCTATTTGCTCTGACTGTTGTTCTAGTTAATAGTATGCTGCTTGTTTTTTCCCCTTCTTTTCTAATGTGACTGTTTGTCTTCCTGTAGGCTTCTCTTAGCCACAGTCAGGCTTGGCAGGAATCTATGTGTAGGGATGTCCTCAATAAACTAAAAGGAGGAGTCTTCCAGGTAGATAGAGATTAACTGTAGATGGCATTGTCTTTTGTCCCTGTGTCTGATAACAAACCAGCTGAGTGACAGAACTGAGTCACATGTTACAGTGCCCACAGGGCAGACATGTGGGAAGTGAATTTAGACTGGGACCATGGGAAAGGGGCTTAAGCTTCCTGCCTGCACCATTTTCTTGAAGTGGGAGGGAGAAGGCAAGGAAACTGAATGTGTGTGGGAGACATGCTAATGGATATTAATTACATCTGCAAGTTCAAAGTCATAATCTGACACAGAAGGTTCCTTGAGCTTGGCTTGTCTCTAGAACAAGGGGCTGTTTTATTGTGCAGTTTTAGAATAATATATTACCTGCTTGCCTTTTGGTCAGTTTCATCACCAAAAATCAGAGCCCACTGGTTTTCTGAAAGAGTCTCTCTTGGGAGAACCAAAGTAGAACCTATGGATTCAAATTTCAGGCACAGAATGAATTATAAGAACTTACTGTGTGTGCGTGAGTTTTCCCCTTTTCCTTGCCATCAAAGATAAACTTGTTGCTTCCATTGTTGATCCATATGTCACATTCTAAGTTATCCGAGAATGTTCATGTATACAGACTTGCTTTGTTTGAATCAGGGCTGCATCTGTGTGGTCAGGGGTTATTTCGTAGAAAAAGAGGTGCAGGAGCTCATTAGTATAACTCATTAGCATAACATTTGCATATACCACACCCCCTGACATCACTGGAAGTGTGTCAGAAGGCAACAGCCACTGCTCAGGCTCCACTGGACTGTTTTGGATTGCTAGCTATGGGGGGGGGGGTGGAAGAGCAGATCTGCCCTAGCAGAGGAGGGAAAGCTTGTACCTAAATAAACCTTGGCCTTAAAGGTGCCACTGGACTGTTTTGGATTGCTAGTTGGGGAGGGGGGATGCGCAGATCTGTGTAAGAAGGAAGGTAGGAGGGAAAAAAGAGAAGGAAAGAAGGAGGGAAAGAAAGAGGGAGAGAAGGAAATAAGAAGGGAAATGGAAAGAAGGAGAGAAGAAAGGAAAGAAAGAAAGAAATAGGGGAAGAAAGAGGGAAAGAAAGAGGCTTCTTGCTCCTTGTGGCCTGGGGCTGCTGGGAGCAGGGGGTGGGGCTTGTTGCATATGCCCGCCCCCTGGGCTCTTTACTGCTGGAGCTCCACTCCTGTGCACTCCTGCAGGAAATGACCCCTGTGCGTGGTGATGATTGTCTGTGTTTCTTCTGTTGCCACTGCAAGTGCAGTGGCATTTACATTAGCAACAGAGGCCCACCCATAGTTTCTCTGAACTTCCTTTTTCCCACTCCCTCCCCAGCCACCCTTCCTCCCCCTCCCCATGAACTACTGGAGGGTTTGGGGGGCTTTTTTCATACCACTGTATCATTAACCTGTATCAATATGTCAATTGATTTTTAAAAAAATATATAAACAAACTCAAAGCCTTCCAGTGGCATGGGGGGGAGGGAGACAAATGATGGCTGGAGGGGACTGAGGCAAGGAAAATGGCACTGATGTGGATAATACCTTAAAAAATGTGCATCATCCCATCCACACAGCATGTATATATGCTTTGACTATGACCTTTCCTAAAATAGTGTGTCAAAAAGGTTTTGGAATGATCTCAGAAAAGAGGAAAGAAATAATGGAAATTGGGTGATTGCGGACCGCATTGTGTCTGTGTTCCAGATGAACTTGTTCCAGGTTAGACACAAAATCAGAGCAAAACCTCCATGCTCTGGGCCCTTACTCTAGGGATTATAAATACACTACTTTGGTTATGTGTATTTTCAGGCTATCCTTTCCCTGAGTTTCCAAACAAATACTGATAGTTACTCATCTCCTTCATCCTTGCAATCACTCAGTAATCCCCATTTTGCAGATGAGGTCCTGAAGCTGAGAGAATCAGCTGCTCAATGCCACCAGTGAGATGGGTCCTACCCACCAGTTCTCATCTTCACTGCAGATGCAATCCTCATGGAGCACAGAGTGAAGGATGGCTTCTGAAGGACTTCATGACAATCCTTGCCTTGCCCCATTAGTGGCCTCTTTTGAATGCACTGAGATCCAGCAAGGACATTCAAAAGTAGCTGTAGGCCCTGCACTTTAACAACATTTCACCCTGTTTTTAGCTGTTTCTCAGCTGCTGCCCCCTGCCCCTCCCACTGCAGATAACTGACAAAAGTGTTCTGTCGGTATGATACGATGCAGCAGATGGTTGGCTGCTGTTGAACGGCCTCACTGGATTGCAGCATGCTCAGAAGAGGGGGCCTGGAGGCAGCTGTTGGAGGGAGGGGTGCTGGTGGTTTTTGCAGAGCTATCTGAGAGCTACTCTGCACAGTGGCTTGCATCCTGTACCTTTGTTCTGGGCACTGTGGGGGAAGTTCTCCACTGTGGAGCTCACTTTCTCTCGGGCTAGACACTTTGGGTTCATTGAAAAACATTGAAATTGTGCAAATGGGAATGCGTAGCACAAGAAGAAGCAAGCTTCACAGCCTCCACATTGCCCGTGTGCAGAGCAAAAGTATAGGACCCAAGCTTCTGCCTTGTTACTAAATAGATGGATGCAGCATAATCTGATTAGATTCCAATTACGGTCCATTTTAAGCATGACATTGGTGAGGTAAAGTGCTTCCCTTCTGACTTTCCAGGGGCTTCAGAAGCTGTGCAAAGTAGTTACATGTACTTACCTTGCACGCCAGAGATCTACAGCCCCTGTGGCCATTGTGCTGGCCTGCTGACTAAGCAGGCATAGCAACCTTGCATAGGTTGCTGCCGCACAGTATAAATGAGACTCTGAGCCCATGCGAAGTCACACAGGGCTATTTCGCACTAGAGCTGCCTCGCGGCGCAGCCGCCGTTTGCCCCGACACAAATATGTCAATTTCACACCCGAAGCTGCGGGGCTGCATTTTGACTCGCGGCTTCGCCCGATTTCCTCCACAGTTTCGTGATCCTGGTTTTTGAGGATCACGAAACTGCGGAGGAAATTGGGCGAAGCCGCGGGTCAAATGCAGCCCCGCAGCCTCGGGTGTGAAATTGACAAATAGTGTCGGGGCAAACGGCGACTGCGCCGCGAGGCAGCTCTAGTGCGAAATCGCCCACAGAGAAGCTCTTTGCCTTGACAGCACCATATGTAAATCGGACCTAAAGTCAGAGAGAAGACCACGAATCCTTCTTCCATTGACACTGCCCTTTATGTTCCTTTCAGAGAACATCTGATGGTTTTGACTCTGTTCCGCTGAAGACCTCATCTGGAACCACAGACATGGACCTTTAGGAGCAGAGTGGATTGCCCACTCCCACACTTTTCCCGCAGGATGCTTTGGGTGTTCTCCTTGGTTAAGACCTGCACTTTGATGAACTTGCCATGTGGCCTTACTGGATACACTTTTAACTTCAACTTCTTATTGTACTTTTTTAAGCCTCGAATTTTAACATTCCGTCCAAAAAAAACCCCAAACCATGCCAAATACAAGTGTGCTTTTAAAATTATATGTAGATACATATTTGTATGTCTCTTGCATTCTCCTCTTCTGGCACAATGGGCTGAAATGAACTCAAGATCTGAATTTCTACACCCTTCCACAACACTTATCTCATCCAAAGTAAAGCCAGTGGCAATAGTTGCATTTTCTTCACGCTCTCACATCAACTAATGCTCCATAGGACATGAAATCAGCCCTCGGGGCAGGCTCCTAAATCTCCCCCCTCTGCTTCTTGGTACAGAGGCCTGACTTTCAAAAGCCCTTTCCCTTCTGCTAAAGGGTCTCGCTGCTGAGGCCTGTCTGCCTCAGAATGACTCTTCAGCTGGGATGCAAGACAGTGGGGTACAAATTGCAGGATTCTTCTGATCCTACACCTCACTCACCTGTAGGAGGATCATAGCAGAGAAAAAAAGCAGGTTAAAGTAGCTGTGGAAAGGCTTTTCCTTTAAAGCTGAAAGCCCTTTCCTGGCTCTCCTTGAGCAAACTAGGAGGTTCTTTATATCCTGTCACAACCCATCAGTTTTGGAGACAATGACAGAATATGCTTTAAACACTGCAAAATTTTGCATCCCAGACAGAGGAGTTACACCTCCCACACCTTTCTATGTAGTAATGGTGACACAGGGAAAAATTCAGTGTGACTCTTGTGGCTCATTCTTGGCCCTTCAGAATATTTTCACAGTGAAATAACTTACCCGTGAGCTTTCTTCAGCATCTAAAAACTCCGATCTTAGGAGAGTGGTTTAAAAAATGTTACTGCTGTTCACAATTGTCATCCTGGAAAACGTGTGCTATCCTTGATAATATTATATCTTCCTTACTGGAAAGCTTTCCTTTGAAATGAGAGAAATTTAATTTTTACATGGTATCAAGGATCAGGAAGAACTTCCATCATAACTGTTCTGTATGACACCCAACTCCTTTCCAGAAGAATAAAAGCCTACTTCCTTTAAGCCACATAAATTATAAATTATATAAATTTTAAATTATAAGTATTAGGGGCACTTAATGTGATTGTCAGATGTGACCTCCTGCACAGCAAACAGAGGCAGAGAATTATCTCTTTTGCATCAGTTACAAGATATGTGGCACAGCTCTTAGAAAAATACACTTAAAAATTATTTGCATTGGAGAAAATAGAAAACCTTACTAGTAAAGAAGGCATCAGTTAGTAAATAGAACAGTACAAGTGGGTTAATACTACCTTAAACAAATGGCACACAAATTTTTGAAAAGTCATTCCTAAGATGAATCCTAAATACAACTTTGATGGAACCAAAAAAAGAAGCAAAGGGGAAAAATCTGTATAGGACAAACAAAAACAATACACACTGAATAAATCTTCCTTACTTTCATTGGCAAAATGTATCATATGTTGAACATTTATTCAATTCTCCCAGCCTGATTTGTATCAAGAAACACATTCCCATTTTTTTGATCCTGGGTTTTTATTTCCAAATCCTGATAACTTTTTCTTTTCCCCAAATTCTTCCTTATGTAATTTCGTAAAGGTTGATGGGTACCCTGAATCCTTAAGTGGCAAACAATGAGTAAAGTGTTTCAGGACTTCCCCCCAAACACATTCAATACTAGGCTGCAGTCACACACACTAAATAATCCACTTTCAATCCACTTTCAATGCACTTTCCAACTGGATTTTGCCAGTTCACACAGTAACATCCAGTTGGAAAGTGCACTGAAAGTGGATTGAAAGTGGATTATTTAGTGTGTGTGTGACCACAGCCTAAATGAATTAGTTTTAATTCATACTAAATTAAAGGCCACAGAGTCAAATGTGAAAGATCTAAAGATAGCTTGTCCAGCACAGACACAGGACATCTGTGTGATAAATTGAGTGACCCAGCTTCATGCTGAGTGTAACCAAAAGAATCCAGTGAGCTGCCACAGGGGTGAATGCAACACAATACCATTTTACTTTGTGAGTACACCTATTCAATTGTGATGTTGTAATGACCTCTGATTTAGGACATTCTATTTTGTCTGGGTTGGTCACAAATTGTGCTCCTGGATTCAGTCAGTGTCTGCTGACAATTGCCTGGCCAATGTTGAAATTTCATTTCTTTGTTTGTTTGGCCAGTTAGAGTAACCTTATTATAAAACAATTAATTGGAAAAATGTACAGTAAGCCTACAATCTTTTCCCCCTTCATGCAAGTTTAACTTGCACTATTCTGATTCTCCAGCTACGCTGGATTTCCACACACCTTGATTTGCTGCCTGTACTGTATAAGTGGAGATCTAGGAACCACATTAATTGCATGTGTTACATCCTATTGAGGTCAAAAAGAAATCACTGATAGGATGCAACATGCACAGCAATAGTGCAGTTCCCCCATAATCCTTTAAACTGAAAGGGGGGAAGTCCCTTTAAAAGCAATTTGGAGAGCACACACCCTTCAAGGCCTGTTTCTTCTCCGAGCTGGTTTCAGGTTGAAGAGAAGTAAGCTGTATGATAACTCATGCTTGCACACTGTTTTGCTGCAAACTTATGAGGGCAGCATGTATGCAGTGACCTTGGTTCCTGCCATTTTGGGAGTTTCAGAAGGAGGCAGTGTTGTTTTGATCTCCCACCTGATATTTTCCTGCTTATTAAAGGGCTCACTGCCATCAGTTCCTCAATTTTGCCACATAGTACATCTGTATATGGCTGGCTTACCATGATTGCATTCATGCTGGTGAATCTTCTCAAACTGAGTGGCTGAGCTATGGCAATGGAATGCCCTTGAACAGTCTGGCTGTTTAGGGTACAAAGTATCATATTATTTCAGGTCCAGTTTCAATGAGAGAAGTTATAATTAAAACCTTCCACAGGCTCTGTGGAGAAGAGTGGCTGCAGGGGCAGGCTTATGGTTGGGAAGCAGTCTCGGGAGGCAGGGAAGTTATTCGTCAAGGAGTAGGAGCTCCAGAAGTAAGATGATTGAAGGAAGAGGACACAACAGGCAAAGGACTGTGAAACAGGCACTAGCAGGTCTGGAGGAAAATGTTCTGTCCCTTTAATGTGTAGACATGAGGTTTTCATGGCATCACCTGGTAACTAATATCCTATTAAGCCACTGTTAAAGGGATAGGATGATTTTTTTCTCCAGGTAGTTGGCAATACTGCTGTGAAATGGGCACTCAGATAAAGGGGAGCCAAAGAAGGCATGAAGAAAATCGTATAGGAGGTAGGTAAATGAAATGGTTGTGGCGCCCCCCCCAACCCCCATTTTCATATACTGACTTGAACTACACAGCCAATTCTTCAGTTGCAGGCTGCCCCAGCAGTGCAGGCCAAATCAGCACTGAAGTGGAAAGGCCATAAAGAACTATTCAAGGAAACCTCCTCCACAGCTGAAGAAACTGCCAGTTCCTCTCAAGCATTCTTTTTTTTAGCAAAAAGCCCACAACAATTCTCACCATCTCTCTTCTTAAGAGGTTGAGGAGACAGGTGGGCAGTTGGGGCTTGGTAAACCTGCTGGACAGATTTCAACATGCCAACAAATGTGTGATGTCTCTCTGGGAAGGATGCTTCACAGATGTGGTTAGGGCTGTCAGGTTTGGGGTCAGAGAATCAGTTTTGGGGCTCTTTTACAGAGCAGCATTGAAATTTCAAGGCCTGTACCACACATAATGGCTTCTAAGACTTTTATGTATTCTTGCTTGTGTTAACTACTGCAGACATAAAGTGGACTTGAGAGCCAATCTGGCATTAACTAACGACATTTTATGTTTAACACATAGTTAATTTCCATGTTTTTTGTGTGTGGAAAAACTCAGTCTTTTCAAAGCAGGCAAGGATTCTGGGGCCCAGTGTTCCCTCTAAGCTGAGTTAGTGTGAGCTAGCTCACAGTTTTTTAGCCTCTGGCTCACACATTTTTGCCTTAGCTCAGGAAGGATAACACCAGAGCAAACTAATTTATACAGTAGCCAAATTGCTCACTCACAACTTTAATGCCAGTAGCTCACAAAGTAGAATTTTTGCTCACAAGACTCCACAACTTAGAGGGAGCAAGAGTCCATGATCACTGACTAAAAGTCCCATATCACTGCCACTGCCACCGGGGCTCCCTTGCCCCATGTGAGGTGAGAACCATTGCCAGAACCTGGTGGCCCGAGCCTCTGATGGAGCAGGCACAAGCAGCCAGTGCTAAGCCAGCTGCCTGAGCCCTGGATGAGGTGGCTATGAGTGGTTGTCACTATGAGTAGGTGGATCAAGCCCCTGATAGGACAGTTGAGAGTGGCAGAGGTGGGAGCCTGCTGTTTTTCCTTCTGCCTGCTAGGAGGCATGTCTGTGGGTGTTCATGGCCCTCCACAGCACTGGATTTAGGGCAGCTGCTGGTGTGGCACATTAGCTAGCGCCCTCCCCCCCCCGCTTCAAGGCCTATCACATATTCACAGATGAACATGCAGTACAATTCCTAGTGCTGCACGGAAATACTGCTATTAGTACATGCAACATTTCCAGGCCCAGTGCTATGATATCACCAGGCCAGCTTTTTGAATCTCAGAATCTGGAATGCTGAGGGCTTGACAACTCTAGGTGTGGCAGGTTCTCAGTCACAGCATTTAAATCTCCCCCTTCAGAGACAATAAACAGATTGAAGGTATGCTATGGTGTCTCCAGTGTCACCTTTGCATAAGCATAGTATTTCTTAAACTGAAATAAATTGTACCCTTTCAAATCTGTGCTCATAACCAATAGTACAGATTTTACTCCATACTCCATTTATAAGCATGCATTGAAAAGGCAGAAATATACTGTTTTGCCTGACTGTGACGACAATAGTGTGTGTGTCCGCGCACACACACATATATAAAGTACAGTCATTGCACAAAGGCTGTGCTATAACAATTTAAAAGAAATCAGGATTTATATATCTCTTTTGGTTGTTGTTACTACAAGATACACAGACTAGTTGTACGATCCAAGCCTTGGTTTAAACAGAGACTTAGATTAGTGGTTTTACACTAAAGCTGTTATTTAAAGTAACATTCAAGCACACTAAGGACAACACTCGTAAGTCAGAGTGGCCCAAGTATTTCCATTATGCAGTGGTTGGAAAGGAAGTGCCAGGGAACTGAAGGGACAGGAGTCCCAAGTGGGGCCTAGAGTTCTGCCAGAATTACAGCTGATCTCCAGACTACAGAGGTATGTTCCCATAGAGAAAACAGCAACTTTGAAGGACACACTATATTGCATCCGTGCTGAGCTTCTTCTCCTCCAAGGCACCACCTCCAAATCTCCCGTGATTTTCTAAGCTGGACCTGACAACCCTCAACAGGAGATGCTTTAAGGGAACATCTGTCCATGGTGCTTTCATTCCCTGTGGGGCACCAAGAGCTGGGTATCTGCAAAGGCCCACAGTCAAAGAACTTTGGCCCATCCATTCCAGTATGAATGGGAGACAGGCCCGCATGTAAGGTCATGTAGCTTGCTGAGGCAATGTCTTGGTCAGAGGAGCACTAGAGAAGTCCAAGAATGACCCTTTTTAGCCTTGCTGGTGTTGATAAGATCTACAGGCACAGTAAAAAGCTGTTTATTTCTTCCTTGTCCAAGAGAGTGTGTGATCATACATCTGTATGTGTTGTGGGACACCAAGGTTTCCTTATGTGAAGGAAAATAAAAGAGACACACACAAAGAAGTCTAGATAAACTAATAAGTAGCTTCTAAAAATAAAAGACACACACACGAAGTCTAGATAAACTAATAAGTAGCTTCTCTTTATCCATTGCTTAAGAATTATTAGTTTGAGGAGGCCTGCGCAACTTGTGGTGTATGGAGCTGTACGAAGCTATAAGTGCTTGGCAACATCCCTGCTTTTACAGTCCTTGACAGGCATCAGAAAGACGGGGGGTTTTCACCTGGTGAACTGCCACAAATTGCTAGTGGGCCATGTCTGAGTGACTTAGTGAGTCACACATTGTGCAGTTTTGATCGTAATGTTGTATGGGGAAAGCACAATTCAAATGGAGAATTGCTGCAGTAACCATAAAGCCCAATCTATGTCATGTCAATTTCTTTCTACAATATAATTTCAGACTTTTTCTTGGAGGATGGAAGTGGAGGTTTGTTGGTGCCTCAAGCAATTCAGGGGTCAAATGATCATCTTGCTTGTTTCCAGCCAGAAGAAAAGGAGTTGGTTTACTGTGCTGAAAAAGCACAAGAGAGCCATGGCACAAGAAAGCTGAGGTACCCTCTGAAGTATTCATAAATGTGAGGGATAAGAAATCAGACTTTAAGGGGCATCAAAAGAAAATAAAAGGTACTTTTTCAATGTTATTGCATCTGGAGACTTCTGGATTATACCATTCTTTATTATAACTATTTATAACCAGGAGTACATTCCGGTTGCAGAGTCTGATTAAACTACCGGTGAAAGGAACAATAGTGGCTAAGGCACCTTGTTGTTTTGGAAATCTCAGAACTAGGTTGGGAAAAGACTGCTGGCATGAACTACTCCAGAACAATCAAGCTATGGGAAGGAGAGTGGTGTGTATATATAAATATCCATTTTAATGTTAGGTGGCAATTGTAAGTGCATTTTCTTGAGAATAAGGCCTATTGAATAACATGGAATTTACTTCTAAATAATCCTATTTAAGATTGCTCCCTAGGTTTCTAGACTTGGCTGGTGTATGCCACGGATGGTAATTTGTGGTTGTGGCCCTTTGGTAATTCACTGGACTTGATGCTAAGTTCCATTCAGAGTTATGACTGAGGTCAGAAGTATACCTTTGCCTATAATAGCATCAATACTTCTGTTTTTGTATGAAGTTGTGATTTATTATTCTGGCTTTTTGTCTTTGCAAATATTTTGTACATGGTTAAAGCAGTTTTGGATGAAATTGTAATATATGATCGACATACAAGATATTTTAGTGTCTGAGCAGAAATCTTTGAGAACTTTTTTTTTAGGCAGGGTCATAAAATGCTAATCAGAGACTTCAATGTGATACTTTCTTACACAGATGAAAATGAATTTTTGCAACTTTGTATGTTACAGAATTGACTGGATTATATTTATAAAACTGTGTGACTATATTTCAGCGTTGTGCTGACAAACAACCATATACTTTGCTACATAAGCAAAATGGGATTGGTTTCCTTCATTTATGATTTTAAAATAATTTTATAGCTGCTTTTGGGCAAGAGCTACATGTACATTTTTGTATGAAAAGTTTAAAAATGTGTACTTTCCACTGTTTTGTGGTGGATGATCTCTTTGCTGGACAGGGGTGGGATAAAGTAGATGCCTATCTCTGGACCACCAATCACTGTACCTCATCTTTTACAACATCCTGTCTAAACCAACATCCAAGCCACAGATTAAATAAAATGGAGGCTGGTTTACAGCACATTGGACCTCTAGAAAGTCCATGTAGACTTATACAGTTTTGCTGATCACAAGTTTTCATTAAGGGATTGAAGAAACCCAACCTCAGCTGCAGTTCTGGAGAAGGTCTATCTGTGTCCTAAACTAACTATGTCTTGCCATACTAAACTTTGTTGTTAAAGTGCTGCTTGTGCCCCCTCTCTCATGCTGCTACCAGAGGACTGTTAAAGCAAAGACAGACCAATTAAGAGGAGTCACCCACTGCATATTTATTTTATTTTTATCCTGCCTTCCTTCCATCATGGAAATTCAAGGAAGCATCCCTAATACAAGAGGATCTCCCATCCAGGCTCTCCTGACCTACTGAGTTTCAAAAAAAGTGCTACTATGCTTTCAAAATATACCCTGGGAAATGTGCAATAGTGACTGCATTTCAATGGAACATAGAAGTGAAAGTTACAGTATAGGTTTTACATGTGTGCTGTGTTGGAGGTCCAACATTAGCACTCAAGGGCCCCAGCCTATGTTTCAATTGTCCTTTGTACAATTGCACACAGGAGGCAATCTGGGAGCGTTCAGAAAACACTGAGAAACACCCTGTAGGCCTGTTCTCATATAAGGCTGCTCCTACCTTATGGTCTGGTTTTTGTAGTGCATTTATTACTGGTGGAATTTGTAAATTAGTAACCAGGATGGAGCTCACAGGTTTATTATACAGTCATCCTTACTTCATTTTGGGTAACATCATTTAGGCCAGGTTCTGCTGTTTTTACAAACACTTTTATATAGTCAGTGATTTCAGCAATGTGAAAGCAACTCACTTCTATCCAATAGTTCTTCTGAGTACAAAAAGAGTGAGTAAGAATAATTGATCTAAAAAATAAACTTTAAAAAATTACTTTAGTGCTAGTAGTAATTAGGCTTTTATAAACTTAATTGTTGTTCCCTAATTACAGTATGAGAACTAGAATCTCCTATTTATCACAAGACCTGATGTTCAGATGACAGAATCAATGAGCTATGTCACAAAGTTGACAATTCTGTTAAAGTTCATAGCATTTAGAGCAGGGGTGTCGAACTCATTTGTTATGAGGGCCGGATCTGACATAAATGAGACCTTGCTGGGCCAGGCCATGTGTGTCATAAAATGTAATGCCAGGTAGTGGAGATATAAACTTTATAAAGAACACAAACATAAAGATTTTTTCCACCTTAAAATAAAAACATGCTTAAAACATTAGCTCTGTAAGCTGCAAACCTACTTTTGATTTAATGACATTCACCACAGAAATCTCATGCTCAGAGTTCTGAGTTTAGGACCCAGGTTAAAACATGAAATGGCTGAGCGATTAAGAGAGTCTGGGAAAGCAAGCTATGATGCAGCAACCACAGCAGAACTGGAAGCAGGAGATGGCCAGTTCCACTGTGGTCCTGATGGAAGCCCTCCGGGGGGCTGATCTGGCCCCCGGGCTGCATGTTTGACACCCCCAGTTTTAGAGCCACTTTGTGAATGGGGTGATAACAGCATGACACTTTCCCGTGTAGAACTTCCAAGAAAGCACTGGGTGGCACGACAATTATAGAACAGGGCAGGTACTCCCCACTTACAAGAGTTTTGTGAATGGGGTGATAACAACATGACACTTTCCAGTGTAGTACTTCCAAGAAAGCACTGGGTAGCACGACAATTTTAAAACAGGGCAGGTACTCCCCACTTACAAGAGCAGTACCACCACCCTTGGTTTTTCTTGGACAAGAGAACTCTGGAGATTTATGGATAACATTTCCTTTATTTAAAGTATGCAAGCAGAGCACATGGAAGCAGTCAGGCCTTTAGGAGGTAGCAGATTGCTGGAGATCAGCTTCTCCCCCAAACCCGTGCTCCCCACCCCTCCACACACAAAGGGGCTGCACCACCAACTGCAGCTAGAAACTCTAATCTCCTAACACAAACTGAAAGGGGCGATTTTTCACACACTCATTTGCAGAGCTCCTGCCGCACACCCTGCCAGTGTAACTGAATTACCCACTGAGAGAGTCATTCCCAGTCATCAGACATTAACATTCTGTTGCCGAAGCCCTAGCCATTGTTAGGCCCCCATAGTCATGGTGATCACAGTGAGCCAGCCAAATTAAACACATCTTAAGGGGTTTCTCAACCCAAGGATTATAAAACAACCCCACGATGTTCTTTGCTGGGAAGGTCTCGTGCCGGGAGCGATCATGCAGATCACCATTAGGGGCCGCTATTAACTTCTCGTAGCTACCATGCGCAGCTAGCCTTTGATCAGCGGCCATGTCCAAACGCACGCGCAGTACCTCTTCTCCATGATGTCTGCACTGCGCGTGCGTACATCCTGCCGGCTGGCTTGTCTGTCTCCTTTTGCTTGGCGCAGGCGAGGGTGTGCCTTTCAGCGGCAGTAGTCCGGCCGTTCGCGTCTGTGTCCGTCAGTCAGTCGGTGGTGACCATGGTGCTTGACCTGGACCTTTTCCGCGCCGACAAGGGCGGCGACCCAGCCCTCGTTCGTGAGACACAGCTCAAGCGCTTCAAGGATCCGGCCCTCGTGGATGCGCTGGTGGCCGCCGACGGGGCCTGGCGAAGATGTAGGTGTGGGGCTGAGGAATGGGCGGGGGGAGGGGCAGTGGCTGACCCTACAAAGGCTACCTGTTCATCGGCCCCTTGAGCCGCCTTCCTTTGCCCACTTCTGTCTTGCCTGTTGGGTAGGCTGGGCTCCTGCGGCAACGGGGTTTTTTGCCTCTGCTGTGTGGTTCCTGGCCAGGTGAGAGGGCGGGGAAGGCGGCTGAGGGGGGCATCTTGAAACAGAGCAGCCGTGCTTCAAGGCAGTTCCGTATTTGTTTTTCTCTGTTTTGTCCTAAGAACTAGGCATCCCACGGACGAGTGTAGAAAAAAAAGGAACGCGTGTTAAAACGGCTTTCCCCGAGTTTCAGGACCTCGTTGCCTTTCAGCGCGTGTCCGATTTGGCAGGTCGCTCTTCAGGCATTGGCGCTGCCTTGTCTGATGCAATCCTGCTGTAACGATCATGGATGCTGCAAATCCAACAGCAGAGATTCGTTTTCGGCTTAGCTGTGCTGCCTTAGGAGAGTTGCAGTTCTAGGTTTTGTTTGTTTTGGCAAGTTGAATCTGGCAACAGTTATCTTACAGTTAGTTTTAAGCAAGTACAATTCTTTCTAAAAACATAAGATAGTTCTATGAAATAACATTTTGGGATCATAACCCTTTTAATTTGAGGAAGCTGTTGACCAAAGCTGTTAGGTAATTACAAAATATGAGAAATGTTCTTGATACTCACTAACCAGGCTGAAAAAGAACATATGGAAGGGGTCTGTCAGGTACCTGAGGTAGCTATGCTTTTTGTAAGAGTGCTTAGATTCCAGTCTTTGGTTGTGGTCTTAGTTTTCCAACATTGCCAAAATTGGGAGTTAGTTGAGAAGCAGTATTCCAGAATAATGATCTAGAGGTTAGTTGTTCACAGGACCTTTGATATCAGTGGATACTGATGTTAGTCACCGCTAACTTACCTAGTTGATTTCAGCAGACAATGGAAAAAACAAATTCCTCTGCACTGGGGCCGAAAGTAAGGGTTTTTCAGAATTGGGGATGGGGAAAAGAATTTTGAAATCTACTAGAATAATAAAGTGAAAAAAATGGAGTAATGTTTAAAGCAAAACCAATGCATTTGGTGTAAATGCCTTGTAAATTAGATTTACACAAATGATCTCATTCCCGCAGTCACTTTCTCCCTCTTGGTTCTCCTCTTTCTCTTCCCCAGCTGTGCCTGCAGCAGTGCCTACCCTTTTTGCTTTCCCTTCCCCTGGCAGCCCATCCCTTTCCCTCCCATCCACCTACCTACCTTTCTGTCTTTCGTAGAATGAGTCTGTCCTTCCCACCCTGGTCCTATTCCCCTTCCACATCTTTAGCTCTTCTATTTTCCATGTTTGCTATTCTCCTCTCAAAGTTTGTCTCCCTTTGAACACAAATTATTTTAACCTATTTTATGCCTCCAAAAGAGGTAACCAAATAGTTCAACAGATCTGTGATGGTGTTTAAAAAGTATCCTTTCTAAATTTTCTTTCTAGGCAGATTCCGTGCAGACAATCTGAACAAACTGAAGAACCTGTGCAGCAAAACTATAGGAGAGAAAATGAAGGTGTGATTTATTGATATTATTGATGTTATAGATTCTGATTGTCAGCTTATCAAAGCATTTTCAGGGGTGCCATTTTATTTTGTGATTAGCTTTGTGGGAAAGATACACAGTTTGAATCATGATATGAAAAACCATTGGCTTTGCAGAACTGGAGATGTATTAATGCATGCTAAGTATGGGGGGGAAGGGATAATGAGAGAGAATGAACAAGCCATACCACTAATTTTAACATTGGAGTACACTATTTAACAATATAGACGTTCTGAAGTAGAATTTGGTTTTTCTAAACTGGAATAGTCAGTGAAACTCAGAAACCTATGAACCGAAAGTGGTGATAAAAACATCATTCTACTTTTATCCAGCCCATCATGCTGTGTTTAAATATCTCTTTGCAATTTGATGAACTCAGCAAGTCTTCCATAAGAAGAGAAAGTAGAAACTGAACCCTGCATTTTCATATAGCTAGCTACACCACTTTCCTGCCAATATTTTCATTTTTCCTGTATTGAAAAACATGGAGAGGATACCAGTAGGGATGGGCATGAACCAGGAAAATCATTTTCAGGGGTGCCATTTTATTTTGTGATTAGCTTTGTGGGAAAGATACACAGTTTGAATCATGATATGAAAAACCATTGGCTTTGCAGAACTGGAGATGTATTAATGCATGCTAAGTATGGGGGGGAAGGGATAATGAGAGAGAATGAACAAGCCATACCACTAATTTTAACATTGGAGTACACTATTTAAAAATATAGACGTTCTGAAGTAGAATTTGGTTTTTCTAAACTGGAATAGTCAGTGAAACTCAGAAACCTATGCTTGCAGGTTAAAAGCAGGAACTGACTCTCTCAAAGTTTCAAAGACTGACTCTCTCAAAGTTTCAAAGACTGTGTGGAAAAACTGCTCAGTTCACGAACTGTGAACCATCACAAACTTTTGGGGGCTAAATGAATTGGTTCAGTTTGTGACTCTGTAGAACAGATTCTGTGCAAGGTAGAGTCACCAAACTCACAGGGGATCTTTTGCTGACTCTCCTCTATCTGCCCTCCATGTTTGGTGAGGATTGGATTTACGGGGTCTGAGTTATGGCCTCCCAAAGAAGGTGCCCCCAGGAAAGTGCTTTCTGCGGAAATGACAGGCAGTCATTTGCCCTGGGGGCATGTTCTGGGGGGGGGGGGTAATTTGGACTGTGTAAATCCAGTCCTCACCAAACATGGAAGGCAGGTAGAGGAGACTCAGCTGGAGGTTCCCTGCGAGTTTGGTGTTTCTAGCTTTGACAGGATCCACTCTATAAACACCCGTGTGTCAAAATGACCACCTGTCACAGACGGTCGTTCTGACTAGTTCATGAGTGTATAGAATGGATCCTGTGCAAGCTAGAGACATCAAAGTTGCAGGGGACTTCCCCCGGATGTGCCTCTATATGCCCTCCAAGTCCCCCCCCCCGTTGCTTTGAAGTTGTGTAAATATTTAGATTGAGCAGAGACTGTCTGGAAACTTATCCATTCACAAACCAACACAAACCTCCACAAATAGCTTGAACGTTTGTGAAACGTTTGTGCCGGTTGACTTGCCACACACTTCACGAACCATGAACTGGCCAAAATTCATCACAAACTTTAGTTTATGAGCTGGTTCATGCCCATCCCTAGACACCAGATTTGTTTATCTCCTCAGACAAGGGCAGGCATCCTTAATTTACTAACAGAAAACTAAAGTAAAAATGTTATATCTGCTGCAGTAGTTTCATTACCGTTATGAATGTACCTGTACATTTATTTTGAAAGTTCATGTTTATATAGCTGAACTTCCCACTAGGGGCATGGCAGGTGAAATCATTTGATCTCTAAAGCATAACTAGCATCTGTGATGAACTATCAAGGGCTAATGCCTCACAGAGTCTGAAAACCTTTGAGTGACAGGCTGTTAAACTGAATTTTGTGGAGGGCATCAGTTAAGAAATGATAGTTGGGAACTGATAGTTGAAGAAGAGACAGTTTAGTACTGACTGAAGAATGGGAAGGAGGCAAAGAAGGAATGAGTGGATTAATAAGGATCCCCATTAAAGCCTAAAAGTAATCCCTGCCCAGTGAAAAGGGAGATAGCTTTTGAAAGAGGAGTGATCCTTGGTCTGTGTATAGAGAAGGATTTTGGGAATTTGGTTTTTCTAAACTGGAATAGTCAGTGAAACTCAGAAACCTATGCTTGCAAGTTAAAAGGAGCAACTGAAAAGAAAGGCTCTCTCCTCAAAGTTTCAAAGACTGTGTGGAAAAACAAAAACACTTATTTGTTGGCAACATATGAGCTGGATTTAGTATGGTTACAAAGTTACCTCAGTTTTTATTAACGATTCACTTCATACATCCTACCCCTGATTAGTATGGTTACAAAGTTACCT